TAACTTCAATTCTGAAGATGGAGGAAGCATCACCACCATGGAAATCTCAAAACAGTGCATCAGCATGAATTAAATTTACTTATTGACTGAATGTTGCCCATCTGTGGTCTAGAGTCATTGTTTGGGACCCATCAGCTTACATAGAGGCTTGTTCTGATTTTGCTTAATGGTATTATAAGGTGATGTAAGCATGTGTTGGTAACTAGCAGCAAATGTTTTTAGGTGCATACTATAACAAATGCTTGCCCCAGTGAAGTGATGTCAGGATGACTGATACTTGTTCTGCAATGGACATTTTCATCTGAAACATGTCAGTAAAATCACCTGCTGATTCAGATTATATAAGATTTGTGCCCGTAGGTGTGTAATGTTGACAGACTCTGATAGTTGTAGACCCACTGTATTCTCTTCATACAGGTTTATCAATGTAGTCATAGTGATTAATGTTTACAATACAAAATAAATTGATTGTTCTCTGTCGAAACCTGTTCATACTCGTATTTCCTTGATACCTTAGAAACCTTACATCAGAACTGCAGGAAGAAAAATGTGTTGTAATTGGTGGCTCATGGATTGCTTCCTGTAGGCATGAACTTGCAATCTAAACCCAAACCCTTTCCTGATGACATTAGCATTACTGTTTCACATCCAGAAATTGACTACTTTCAAAATTGTATGAATGATGTCTTTGCCACCATGAACAAATTCAATAAAGCCAATAAGCTTGCATTAAATTTTGACAAAACGAATGTAATGAAATTGAGCACTAACAGCTAAACTTGTATTAATCTATTATGAGGCTATGAAGATAAGAGGAGGAAGTATCAGCTACATTCCTTGGCCTTAAGGTTGACAGAAAAATATACTTACTTACTTACACATGGAGCTGAGTCCTTCTGGAGGAGCCGTCAATTCTGCAGCTACTCAAGATTTTCCCAGCATTTTATTGAACCCAAAGGTTCATTACCGTGTTCACAAGAGCCCTCTACTGGTCCCTATCCTGAGCCAGATGCAGACTGTTCTGCATATATAAATCTGTATTAAGTTAAGATTACAAAATTACAAACAAAGAGATCGGCAGATAGCCACCTCTTACACGCAGAAGGGACATAGTTCAAGTTTTGCTATGTGGACAGGAAGTAACATCTGGTACTTTCCTGGAATTCAGGCAGTTTCAGCAAAGTCGGAAAGTCTTTGAGAATTTGAGGGCTGACAGCTCGGAACAGCTATAACTTAAAAAGGGAATGGCTGGAGCCTCATCCTATGATCGTAATGCATCAAGGGGCTGTCAACCTTAACGTCAGGTCAGCATCTGCCAGAATCACATAGCAAAGCAACATGATTGGAAATTCAAAATTTAGGGAACCTCCTAGTTTGAAACTTTAACCAATGGCAGAAGTGGAGGAGTGGATTTCTCTTGGAGTCTGGGGTTCGTGGACCACAGGATTCAGAGAGAGTGCATTCCACCTGAAGGAGTCTTCATCCAACTTTCGGCAAAGTCGGACACAAAATTATGACTATGTCCCTTCCGTAAAAGTATTACAAGTAAAGTTCTAAATAAGTGTTACTAATAGATTCATTTGTATTCAGTGAACTGGAGGGAATTATATGATTACTAAGTGGAACGGTCTAAAGAGGTGTGTGTGATTGTAGAGAAAGATTCTTCCTGCCCTGCCTGAGCCAGACCCGTGTAAAACCCGGGATATGAACTCAGCTCTACAAATCACCGAACAGAACCCAGATACTCCCGTCTTTACCTGCTCTCGCGTACCAGCTCCAACAACCCCAATTCTCCTCCCTTCCCACCTAACTTCTCGACATCCACGAGAAGAGGGAGGAAGGTGATAAGTGGAGCACAACGTAAGATCAAGGAGGACGGTTACATCCAATTCATATCATCGCATCCTATCTCTCTAAGATCCATTTTAATATTGTCCACCCACCTATGTCTTGGTCTTCCCAATGGTCTCTTTCCTTCTGGCTTTCCTACCAATATCCTATATGCATTCCTCGTTTCCCTCATTCGTGCTACTTGCCCTGCCCACCTCATCCTCCTTGACTTGATCATTCTAATTATTTTTGGAGAAGAGTACAAGTTATGAAGCTCCTCGTTGTGCAGTTTTCGCCAAACTCCTGTCACTTCATCTCTCTTCGGTCCAAATATTCTCCTCAACATTCTGTTCTCAAACACCCTCAGTCTTCATTCCTCCCTTAATGTCAGAGACCACGTTTCACACCCATACAGAACCACAGGCAAAATTATCGTTTTGTATATTCTAATTTTTATGTTTTTGGACAGCAGATGAAAAGACAGAGTTCTGGACTGAATGGTAGCAGTCATTACCATAGTTCAGTCTACTCTTAATTTCCTCCTGAATCAGGTTTCAATCTGTTATCGTTCCTAAATATCTGATTCGTGCCACATTTTCAAAACATCTGTTTCCTCTGTTTATGTCATGATTTTCCCCTGCATTTTGGTGATGCAGCAATATATACATATTTTTCTCTGTGTTTACTTCAAGACCAACTTCCTTACTTGCGTCAATTGAAGTTTGTGTTTTTCTTTATGCTATCTATATTATCACCCAGTAGATTCACATCATCGGCATAGGCCAACGGCTGTTGTGTCCCATTTAATTTCAGTCCCACCTGGTCTCCCTGGACCTTCCTAATGACATATTCTAAAGTAAAGTTGAAAAGGAGTGGTGAAAAGACAATCGTATAGTGAAAAGAAATATATTGTCACATGTTCGGAACCCAGAAGAGAGATTTCCATGGAAACGGTAGAATAGACCGTTGCATAGGAAATAAAAATAGCGGTACTATAGTTCTAACAGGAGTCTCCACGGTTACAACAGAAGGTTCAATGCATAGCAACCGCCGTGGTTATAAAAGCCCAGCTTCGACAAGAGTTAGTTGAAATATAGCTGCCGCCGAAGGATAGTCTGGAAGTCTGGAATTAACCGCCGAAGGAGACGGTCTGGAAATAGCCCTCGTAGAAGACAGTTATGATCTAGTCGCCATACAAGACGGTTGGAAGGTAGCCGCCGCGGAATACAGTTAAGGTGATAATTGTACAGTGTATAAGTGTGAGTGCCGGCCACGGTAGCCGAGCGGTCTAAGGCATGCACTGTCTTCGCTCGCTCGGAAGCCGAGATCGTGGGTTCGAATCCCGCTCAGGGCATGGATGTTTGTTGCGTTTTTCTGTGTTTGTCTACAGGTAGAGGCCTTGCGACGAGCTGATCACTCGCCCAAGGAGTCCTACCGTATGTGTAAGATGTGTAAGAAAAACCAAAGTAAACGGAGAAGTTCATGGAGGTAGGCCCACTGGGGCTGTAGTGCCAAGGAAAAAAATAAGTGTGAGTGTCTAATAAGGATTCGCTGAATCCTAGACCAACGTGAAGTTATTCGTCGTGTGGCATACCCAAGTATACCTATACTTCGTATTCGTATTATGAGAGGGGGTGGGTTTCCCCATGCACTTAGACCAGTTATTGGTCCATTGTGCACCCCCCTTTAATTTCTACTGTCGCCATTCCCTACCGGTAACGGTGCGTGCCATCAGCCCCCGTAGATGCTTCCCCCATCCACCAGAGGCATTGGAGACTACTTGGGCGGGAAAAGGCCTGTGATTTAGCTCAGAGGTCTCCTAGAGACATGAAGTTCTTTTACGTGCCGTAAATCTACGACACCGGACACACGGCTTAAAGTCCCTCCCGGAGGACTTGTTCCCTAAATTTTTCCGCCCTTAAACATTCCATGACCTCCTCCGGGTTTGAACCCGCGTACCTTGAGTCATGAGGTGGGAACGTTACCTCTAGACTACGGAGGCCACCATACCTATACTTCCTTCAGCATGAATTGGTATGAGGATAAGTCACGCCATTCACAAAAAGAGAAACTGTAAAACTAGTGTACTTCACTTGATGTAAACCAATAGGAGGTAGCATAAATACCATAAGGAAACATAAGCTCTAATTTATGCTAGTAAGGAGGTTGGTCTAAAAGTAAACACAAAGAAAATCAAGTATATGTTAATTTCTTACAATCGGAATGCAAGGAAAGATCATAATCTACAAATAGATGCTCTGCAAAAAAAAAAAAAAGAAAGAATGTGTTTCATGTGGAAATTAAAGAGCAGATAAAACTCAGTTCAGTATCCTTTGTCCTCATGTCTGCTGCGTAAAAACGTAAAAATTAATATACAAAGAACTATTATTTTGCTTTTAGTGTTGTGTGGGTATGAAACTGGGTTTCTGACAGTAAGGGATGAATGTAGACTAAGGGTATTTGAGAATAGTGTGCAAAGGGGAATATTTGGGCTAAAGAGAAATGAAATAATAGAATGCTGGAGAAAGCTGCATAATGAGGAGCTCCATGACTATGTACGTTTGGCCAAGTATAATTAGAATGATAGTTGGATGAGATGGGCAGTGCATGTAGCACGAATGGGGAGAAATGGAACGTGTGGAGGGTTCCGGTGGGAATGTCAAAAGGAAAGAGATCACTAGGAAGACCTAAACTTATATGAGAGGATAATATTAAAGTGGTTCTTGAAAGAACTGATTGGGATAGTACGGACTGGTTTCATCTGGCTCCGAACTGGGACCAGTGACGAGCACTTCTGAACGCAGTAATCAACCTTCGGGTTCCACAAAGTATTTGTAAGTTCCTAAGCAAACGGACAATTGGTGGCAACTGAATAACTGCTGATATCGCGGTTTACTGTGAACCACGGATTGTATATAGTCATAATGTACTTGCATCATAACTCGAAATGTCGCATGATGTGTACGTCACGTCGCATCACACAAATGTGTATGGATACATTGCTCGAATCATTGCAGGCTAGTATCGTAGGGAACGGCAAGTTTACAGTCAAAACAGATGATAACGGTAATATGGTCAAATTTATGACACGATTCGTATAATTTCTTATTAATCTAATTTCTATACTGAATTGTTTTCCGGACTATTTTTACGCGAGGAAGGGGAAGCAACTTCGTCAGCAGGTTTTGGTTATTGTTTCCTGCGTTGGGTGTCAAGAGCTTCAAGAGTTGGTCGGGGTCAGTAAAAATATTTGTTGTTTGTAGAGGCTTGGGAGAAGTGTGCTGTTGAAAGTATGAAGTTCCAGTACAAGGAGGAACATCCCTTCGAAAAGAGGAAGGCCGAAGGAGAAAAGATTAGGAGGAAATACCCCGACAGAGTTCCAGTAAGTATTAACCTTGGATTAACAGATGGTTAACAAAAGAATATTTTGATTTTGGTATAGTTGTTTTACTCGTGCCAGAGGTAATACAGGGCAGTTTATTAGAACGGGATTACATAAGGATATATCTGATTTTGGTATAGGTTTATTACCCGTGCCAGAGGTAATAAAGGGCAACTTGTTCACAAAGGGATAATTAAGTAATGAAGGAATGTAAAGGAAAACACTTATTAGCTGAAATCCTTATGTCAGCATTACAAGGCCGTTGTTTTTAATAATAAACGCTCTTGTATTTTGCTTTATACGAATGTAAAGTATTTGACTTGTCCTATATCATGTACAATGATCCATGGATATGATATGAAATAAATAAATAAATAGAGTTATCGAACCCTTAGGTTCAGAAATATTTGGTTTAGGACTTGCATTTTATTATGACACAGCATTTGGTTTCGAATTACAGGTATTTTTTAAAAAAGGTTCTTATGAGCACGGTAAGGAACTTCTGGGTTACATAAAATTGCTGGGACTGTTTTGAATTGCTGAATTAGCTGTTGGCTTCTTGAGAATGACTTGAGTTCAGTGGAGTCAGTCATTCTGTCTGTAAGCAAATAATAGGATAGTATCTTGAAACAAAGTGTGGCCACCTCCTTCCCAGTCCTTTCACCACCGTTGTATTTAACGGTGCCTGAAGCCAAATATCTACAGTGTGTGCGCACACTGTTAACACAGTCTCTGCAGAAGACTCACGGTGATCATTTCTAGACATTACGGGAGAAATGCTGTTCTCTCTGCACAGGTGATTGTGGAGAAGGCACCCAAGGCTCGGATTGGGGACCTGGACAAGAAGAAATACCTAGTTCCATCAGACCTGACAGTAGGCCAGTTCTACTTTCTCATCAGGAAGAGGATCCATCTACGTCCTGAGGATGCCCTGTTCTTCTTCGTCAATAATGTGATTCCCCCCACCAGTGCCACAATGGGCTCACTCTACCAGGTAACATCTGCATAAAGGCTGACCATGAGTGTAGCCTGAGTGCTTGGTTGTGGGGGCCGTGTGGCCTCCTCTCAGCACAGGGTGATCTCTCCCAAGAAATAAAGTTGACTGCACACCCCATTTAATCCTGAAGTCTTAGAATGTGTGGCAGTTATACTAGGGATCCTTGACTGGACTCAAGCAAGCAAAGGGACTCATACAAGGACCCTCAGCTAAAAGAGTGAAGGAATTGTTAAACAGGAACCAGCTATGATGGGTGGCAGGACTACTTACAGGGACACTGTCACCTTAAAGGACACCTCTTCAAACTGGGACTAAGTGATAATCCCACTTGTGATAGGTGTCTGGAAGAAAATGAAACAGCCACACATATCCTGTGTGAATGTGAGGCCCTAGCTTATTTAAGATTATGTCACTTGGGTCAGTACTTCATGGAACCAAGTGACTATTTTGACGCCACCACATACAAAATCCTGCGGTTCATTGGAAGTGCAGGATTACTTAGGGGATAATCAAAAGGGGAAGCACAATAGACCACTGTAGGTCATGGTGGGAGGGCCGAGGAGGTCTACCCCTCATACATTCAGTCAGTCATTCATTCATGTGTGAAGGTTTGTCTCTCTAGTGCATACCTTACCTCTTATTATTGTCTAGTTTGATATTACCTAGGAGGTTATAGTGGTAACACTCAAATACCTTGATTAGGATTATGGCTACATTGAGTGAGGTTTCTTTCTGTGATTTTCCTCAGTCCATATAGGCTGTTGCCAGAATAGCAACTCAATCCATGATTGCTGCCTTCGGAATCTTTTTGAGTTCATTGTTCATTCATTCCACCAGTTCATGCTGTATAGCCTGACAGCATTGTAAATTAAACCACAAGAATGATTGACTATGAGGACATAGGCATGTGAAATAGAATTATCCTGCATACAAATAACTTTGTTGTAGAATGGAAAATTTATGTTGCTTGTGATCCGTTTATGTAGTTGAGCCCTTCTGCTGCTAGAGTGATGTAAGTTGTCATCTTGTGACATGTCCATGTAAGACGAAGTGGTTATTTTGGCATGAATTGTGGACTACAGGTGTAACGACACACTGTGTCTGTCTGTTTCAGGAGCATCATGAGGAAGACTTCTTTTTGTACATCGCTTACAGTGATGAGAATGTTTACGGCAAGTGAGCATCACCCTCTGCTATACTTTACATTTTCTTTCCCAATGTAATTATTATTGTGGTTATAGGATACCATGGCCTGATAAGTGCTTCGGAGAGCAGCATTAAACTTTCATTTTGCTGTAATGCTGCCCATACCAAGAATAAGGGCACAGTATTTTCTGTATTGATATAAATTTCAGTATTTTGGAACCACACAATGTTTCGAACAGTCTTTTTCTTCCCAGTATGTTTAATTTTTCATCTTGACAGGAGTCATTTTTAGTTTGCACTTGTGATAATAAAGGTTTGGTTTAAAATCACAAAATATTTGAAGTTGTGGATCTGATAATTATTGTTATAACTATAATATTGGATGGAATGTATATATCCATACAGTGGTGTAAATAAATGTTTCTTTATTTTGAAGGCTTTGGTGAGACTTGAGAACTATCCTGACAGTAGTAACCCCCTTACTGCTGACTGTACATTGCACATGTTCAGCCATTACAAATTTGCTGAAAACATTTCTCAGCCAGTTACTCCAATTTCTTTTACATACTCCATGGTGCAGGTTCCTTGAGTAGCTGATAGTCACTCACCTATTCAGATTCCCTTCCTTATCGCAGCGTTCATTGTGCCTTTCACAGTAATCTGCCACTGGACCCTGTTTTGAGCCACATCCATTTTAATATTGTTTTGCCATCTATATGTAGATTTTGCAAGGGATCTCTTCCTGAATTATTAAAATTATAACTGGTTGTACCTGGCATAAAGTATGTCGTTCTATCTGATCTGAAAGGTCATTAGTGAAATAGTCATGCAGTTTTATTTATTTATTCATATATTTCAATTCTTGTGATGTATTTGTTTATGTGACTCAGCAGGTGGGTTAACTTGTTGCAGTAGCTTGTGCACTTTTTACATTCAGCCACACAGCTTTAGCTTGATTGATTTTCAGGCAGTTAAGTTGCTGTTTCAGCAGAATAAAAAATATAAAATTGTCTACATCTTGACTTTATTCTCCTTGTTTAATATAGTAGTGAGACCAAATGGTAAACCTGGTCGTCTGCATGATGTGAGCACAATTGCTGAGGTCATTATATGGTATTTGTCCTGTTGTGAACAGTTTCTGGGATAGAGCAAGTTAATGTACAGTTGCAAAACTGTTGATAAAAGGATATTACATAATGTTTGTAATACTGGTATTTATTGTTCAAATCACAAAGTTGGTGGTAGCGTAGTTGTTTGAGGCACTATGTTGCAAGCCAGTAGGTCACGCGTTCGAGTTCGGATGAGGTGGATTTTTTCAATTTACCTAATCCTTTCAGCCACACTATGGCCCTGAGGTCAACTTATCCACTAACATAAATGAGTACCAGGAATATTCTTTGGGGTAAAGGGCAGCCAGTGTAAGGCTGACAACCTCATCGTCATCTGTGAGCTGATTGTCTAGAGAATGCGGGAGCCTCGACATCTCACAACTCTATGGGCCTTCATGGCCTGTTACAAGGATAGCTTTATCTAGAATAATATGTTTTCAAAAATTCCACTGTCAGCATCAATGCATTTTGCAGATTTTGTGAGTGCATGGAATTTTGCTTGTCTGATTGCATCTTGACGTTCATTTATGCAGGCAGTAACATCGATTATGTGATCGATCAGTTCCGTCTCATGTAACCACTCTTCTTCTGTTCACTTTATCCAACCCCATAAATAAAAATCTAACAGGGTTAGGTCTGGAGACCTTGGTGGCCATTTAATGGTATTGCCACGACTGATCCATTGATTAGCAAAAGTAACATCGAGATGTTGCCATCACAAGTCCAGTATAATGAGAAAGGGTTCTGTCATGCTGAGGGTACATAGGACTCTGTGTAGCCAAAGGAGCATTCTCTACTTCTGATAATTCATCTTGCAGAAAGTGTAGATAATTATGTCCAGTCATATGATGATATAAAATATCGGGACCAATCAACATGTCATTGATCATACTGCACCACGCATTGATAATGAAATGATGTTGAAAATTTGTTTCTACAGTACCATGTGGATTGCCATGAGACCATTCATGTGAGTTATGTGTCATTGATTCTATTACAGGTGAAAGTAGCTTCATCAGTGAATAGTATTAATGGAAGCAGTTGGTGATGAGTATTGTCACATGTTGGAGTGACTGTAAATGGGGTTTGTTTTGGCAACTCGATTTATTGCTCACTTGCACACATGACCAAAAAATATGAGCAGTAACAGCACCACCACTGATTTCCACAATTTACAAATAACCACAGCATCCACTGAGCTTTTTCCACCCTGCTGTGTCCTGCGTTCCCTGGCAGTGACTTTTAATAGTGGAGATTCTTCAGCTTCACACACTAAGGTTCTGTCGTCACAGCGTTCCGTACATAACTGCCTGACAACTGACTTTGTGCCTTGCTTATAACATCATTACTGACCACGTAGAAACACTCCATTCCCATCAGTAACTCTATTGTTGTGTGTGTATTTATTACTGCAGGAACATGTTTACTGAGCTGTTGTCAGAAATTGTCATTGTTCACATAGTCACCCCTTAGCTTGTCAGAAATGGTCGTCGTTTACAGAGTCACCGCTTAGCAGTGGGTCTGTACGCCACAGTATGTAAAAATGATAAAATTCTGGACACATGGCATTGTCCCCTGGGTGTAGATTTTGCACATGCTGGGGATGAATTGGATACAAGCTATTCCTTAGTCACTTTTTTTGAGTCAGTTTTTTTTTCAGCACCAGTGGTGATCAACCCTGTGCATGAGTTGCAGTAAATCAAACTCGTGACATCCTTGATTCAGTATTTTTAGGAAATCATATATTTACTCCTTAAATATAAAAATACTGGATGTGAAATATAACAAGTGTTTACAGCTCCCTAAGAACGGAGGTATATTGTGCTTTAGTGGAAGGCCTGAACCCACTCCTCAAGTTATATCACTGTTTACCCAGACACAAACTGCTCTTTCTTTGTGAAAATTTCATTAAAAAAATTCACTACTCTATGAACTGAAGACTCCAGTTCAGAAAGTAGTGAAGTCCACTTATAATATTGTGGTTTTGTCTTGTGACACCATGCACTCCAGCAGATGGTTACCAGTATTCAGAAGTTCATATTGCCTCCATCTGCCATACAGACAGAGGAGTATGTTCCTCCAAAAGTTGGTACCCATGTACCATTTTTTTTTATTGCTAGTGGGGTGGGACTAAGTCCCTTGTACTGTTGCCACGTCTCGCCTATTGTACCAGCCCCAATGATAGGTGAGGGTGATTGTGGAGCAATTGGTGGAATGAAGATTGGCAGGGGAAACTGAAGTACTTGGAGAAATCCTGCACCAGCGCCACTTTGTCCACCACAAATCCCACTTGACCAGACCCGGGATTGAACCCAGGCTGCCATTGTGGGGAGCCAGCGACTAACCGCTTGAGCTATGGTGTGGCCACCCATATACCATACAGTACAGTGTCATAACCCAGAAGTGCACAGTATGAATTTTCACCATAATGCAAACATTGTAGCTTATGTGCAAGTCTGCATTTTGCCAGCCGTAAGCTTATTGCACAACATGGCAGAGCTCAAGACTCAGGCACTCATATGTTGTCCCTCAGTGCCTTACTGTCCAAAACAGCCAGTCAGATCCTTGGACACTAATACTGTTTGTACTCCTAAGAGATGATGAGAATGCCTGTAAGAAAAGAATTGTGTCTTCTGGAATGTGATTGTCTACCAGATTACAGGGCGTCCTTTCCCAGAAGACAGCAATCTTCATAGTCACTGCCATGAGGATCTCACGTCTCACAAGACAAGAGTTTGAAACATCTGAAGGGAGGGTTGAGTGATGTAAATAGGTTAATGCACAAGATTTATATAAGAGACAGACATGAACTAACTTTGCATGTTGCACACTGTGCATCTTAACTGTTAAGCAGTTCTTGTTAAAGGCGATACAATGTGTTTTCTATGGGGTAGAGGCTGAGCTGAGCTTGCTGCCTGCTTCTGGTAGTTTCTTGGCTTACTCTTTGACCCTAAAGATGGAGGGGATCTGTTCCTCCAAAATGTTGTGCTGTCACCTAACCCCCTAGCATTAAAATCTGAGTTCGTAACTGTTTGTAGTCTGTGCTGTGAGAACCTTGAATCCAGCAGAGCTGAATTTGTTTCCTTAGAATCAGCTGTTTGTTTAAAAAAGTATAAGTGATCAACCACAACACAGAGTAGGACAGATCTGCCATTTTACACACCAGAAGCCATTTACATCAGTTTAGGCTACTTGGGTTAGAACTGTCACAGCCAAAGAGATTGGCTCCTTAAGCAGTTAATCCAGCACATCTGTCAGTAGATGTCGTGAAATGTGACATAACCATGTTTAGAGATCTAGAGCAGACCGTCATATTATCTATGCCTTCTGTTGGTTGAAGGTCATTTGAGAAAATAGTATAGGCTTTCTATGCAACTGCAGTTACCCTTCAGACATCCTGTAGTTCTGTGGGAGTCTTGCACCACTTAGCTGTCTTCAGTGAATTCTGTAGCTCTTTTCTAAGATAGCCCTCTGAGCAGTCCTGTTTAATGGGGTATTTTGATCACTTGGTTTCGTGATGTATGTTCCCAAGAGATGGAATCTTAATTCCGAAAAACCTCGTCACATGGCTAATATGAGGCTCTTTCATTTATGTCATGGCCCTATTTTCAAGTGCGACTAATCTCGGTTTGAAAATCACAGCTTATGTTGATCTATAGACTATTTTTATTTTTGGAGACAGGCTAAAATGAAGAAAGGTAAAGTTTAAGCATATCATTTACCTGTGTTGGTCGGGGATGTGTGTTGAATCTACAGAGGTTATATATTTATACCATAATAAAAGAAATGTGATATTTAATATTTATACCCACTAAACTTTACAGTATCAGTATTAACTTTACATTTTTCTATACACAAATATTACATGTATGTTGTTACATAGGAAAAAAGAAAACATTTGTAAACAGCATTTTACAATGGGCAAACATTTCATGTGTGAATTCATGAAATTGTTCACAATAATTATAATGATACACTGTTGCCACATATCTTTCTTAAATAAAATATTTATATTTCAACACACAAATTGAGTTGTTTAACAAAAGACGGACTGTGATGAGAACAAAAAGACGGGGAACAGGAGAACTACACAGCAGTCCGAGGGTTGCTAAGTTTCATAGGCCTTCCATGTCCTTAATACAAAATGTATGATTCTTGCGGTAAGAGAATAAATCAATGCCTAAGCTAGATTACACAAATTACAGAATGTTATGTTACAGATCAGGGCCCCCAACCTGCCGGTGTTAAACAGAGGTATTTATACATTGATAAGTGATCCAAGTAACAGATCTACTGTTGTTTTGTCCACCACATTAATCCTGTCAGCCCTAGCAGTTTCAGTGTGAAAACAAAACCTGATCTTAAAAAGTTACTACATATTTATTTTTAAAAATAAAACCCAAAGCCTAACCCTGTGGACTAGTTGGAGATAGATTATGAGGTTAGGCTCTAGGTCTTGTTTTTACAAATAAACTTTTGAGGTTGAGTGTTCTAATGTGGCAGACAACATGATGTAAATTTTGAAGTTACTTGAGGCACCTGTTAATATGTAAGTACCTGAATGAATTTTAAAATTCATGTCAGAGACACTGGCTCATATTATTATTAGCTCTTAGGACTTGGTCCACTTTAACAGGATTGGCCACAGGCTGTCCCATGCTACTAGCTCTGTGGCTGAGGGCACACTGCAACCTCAAACGCTGTGGCAAGTAAATCTCAATGCACAGCAATCTCAAAAACAGAAACCAAATAATGCCAACTATGAGTATGTTCCTCTTGATACCTTTGCCATGAGATGATGCGTTATCAGACAAGCTCAGACCTGCAACCCCTGGATACCAGAGGCATGTGCCTCACCCTTGAGCAACACACATCCCCCCTCGGGCAGTAAGACAGTTGAGTGCCATGAAAATAAGCAAAATTTCATTTTGGTGTTTTCTTCTTTTCCCGCCTTACTTTGAGATGCAGCTATTTTACAGGGACAGGGCAGACAATATTGTCGATAAATTGTGGAAAACAGAGTGCTGCAAACATTCCAATTTTACATCGCTCTGATATATACATACAACAACTAAAAGGCAAGGGGAAACACTACTATAAGCTGAGCAGTCTTGTAGATGCATGTGATAGGCTACACAAAAAGGAGAGCAAACTACTTTATAAAATCGTGAGATTCAGTAAGATACAAGGCTACTTGAAAACAATGGCAAAACAATTGTTGAGTGCCTGTCGCAATGGACAGCCACTTAATTCACACTGATTAAATAACAATTTTCTGTACAGGAGGTTATGCTATGTAGCCCACCCAAACAAAACTCTGCCACAAATTATTGATAACCTCGCTCATACGTGTTTGGTGTTCCATAAGTTGGTGCCTCGCGCTACATTTACCTATCTGCAAGGGACAGTTTTGCTTCCCCCCCCCCAATATTCGAAACGTTTTCTTTATGGTAGAGTGCCATGCCATTTGTGAACCCAGGTGAAGAAGTGAGAGGAAACATAGTATGAGGCTTTGTAGAGGGCAACCATTTATTGCATAAGCCAAGGAACCCAAACTGTAATATCGAGTTTTGTACCATGCCTCACTCCTTTCCAAAAATAAGACAGAATATGATCAGATATAATCTCTCAATCTGCTGGCATCAGTTTTTTAATGTATTCCTTTAAGCTAATTTGCAGTGCTTGAGAGCTACAAATTCATTATTTCAGTTTTGGTTGCTATGCCAAAGGGTTGAAAGCAGACCTGGGGGTATACAGTTTAGGCTGAAGGCTTGGTATCTGTGGTGCCTGGGGCAGATGCTGGTGCTCCAGCTGGGATGGCAGCATCAACACCACCTGCTGGCTGTTGTTGGTAATACACTGAGGGTGGACTGGTGGGATTCGACTCAGGCATGAACTTGACTGAAAAGAGCAAAGAACTGTGACATTAGATTTTGAGACAGGTGGATCATTTTGCATCATTAAAGAATTAACACATTCAGTGCCAACCCCATTACCTGGTGGGTTCAGTTTACCACATGCCAGTGCAAATCATGTCAAGTGACAGCTCTTTCCACTGTTTTTACCTACAGAGAAACTTATAAGTGCAGCTTGTCAAAGCTTGAAAGAGTCAAGACATGCAATGATTTTCACTTGTTTCTAACTTATATTTATTTTTTGAATGTAGTAAATTCAAAATCAAATTCTTTGTGAAAAAAAGACTGGCCCAGACAGAATCCCAGTACAGGATCATGGCAGTGAATGCGCAAAGGTTAGAGTGCAGAATATGGCTTGGATGTGTTACTTCATTGTTCCACATTCTTTTATCTTCATAGGTCAATTATGCTGAGGAAACCAAAACCATATTCTGCAAATTTACTGTGTTTCAAGATCCCTGGTAAATAGTGACAGATATTTCACCTTATTTTAATTGCTGTAGCCTGAATGCATAAACACATTACAACACCAATACCTCAGCTACAAGTTCTGGAAATGAAATAGCAGTATAGTGGCACTACACTACACAGCACACTCACAACTTAGGGACTTACGGGTGTCGTGGCACTGCTGTGGCTCCAGTTTTCCTCTGAAAAATTTGATACTTTTGCAAAACCAGAATCTTCACCTCCCATTCACAGGAGAGATCAGATCTGCTGTGACATGCAATCTAAAGTTATCAAATGTTTGCCCCCCCCCCCTACTGTACCTCTATGTGTCGCTGATCTGCCTCATTTTGGATGAAGTTTCACAAACTGGATTTTCTGAACAGATATAGAAAGTGATATAGCTCATTGTGTCAGGACTGAAACCTCCATTATGTCCAAAAATTAAATACCACAGAACTTCCACGCTGCCTGCAGCAGTGCCACATAACCTATATTCAGAAACTGCAGAGGACAGCTGAACTTATGGGATGTGATTCTACAGCTCAGAGGAATGTGCTGCCCCTCTCTTCAGGAATGAGGAATAAGCCACTCAAATTCAACTGAACTGAAAGAAATATAAAACTGGACTGTGATGTGATGTCCACATTTCTTTGTGTTCTTTGCTCAGGTGAGTGCTGAAGCCGTCACTCACTTGATTTGCTATGGCTCAGTTCCCAGCAAGGGCAGAGACAATTTTCTTCTCCACATCCAATGGCTCTGGGCTCACTTGATCTCCTGTTGAATGGTACTGGGGTCTTCCCTCATGGAGAAAGAGACCAGTTACTTCCATTCAGATCTGAGGTGTAAAATGCTTTGGCTTCACCTCTGTGGCCACTATACACCTCTGTCTGGTGTTTATCATCAGAAGTAAATGCATGAAGTTCATGAAATGAATGCATAAAGGAGATTGTATGTTTTTGAACCACATTTGTTGTGTTCAGTACTGCTTTACACATTTGGATAAGATAGTGGATGGATGATCTGCGCTGAAAGATAGGTGTTTCATTTCTGTTGTATGGGTTTTAATGTTCAGGCTTAAATTGAACTTGTGAGATTTGAGGTTCTTGTACCATAGAGTATGAAAATTACTGTCATCTGGGTTGTGACATGTGCATTGTGAAAGCAGCAGGTTCCTCTGAAACTGTTGGTACCTATCCACCAGACTGCATCGCGTCTCATCCGAGACAAAAACAGCCTTCAGTCCAAAGATGATACATTTTCTCAGTAATGATATGTGATACAAAAGAACTGGATATCTCTTCTCTTCAGGTTTTCCTCCCAAGGCTTCATGTGCATTTGTCCTGCCCATCTCATCCTCCTTCATTTGATCAACCTAATAAAATTTAGTGAGAAATGCAAGTTCTGATATAACAGATTGCTGAATGTTGTATGGAATGTGAAATTTTTACAAAATGTACATAACCCTTTTTTGTAACAGACATGTAAACTTTATGCATCCAAACACACTAATTATTGTTTTACATGTAAACTAATGAATCTGTTGGTACTTTTTATTTTCTTCCTCTTTCTATCTTTCGTCTGTTTCAAACGTGATTCTGCTAATATATTGAGAGTCAAATGACTCAACTGAGATGAAAATGAAAATTTAACTACTGTTAGCACAGTATCAACTTTCTGTCCTCAGCCAGTTCCCAGACAGTTGTCATGTGGTCAGTTTGTATTTAATCTTTTTGGTATAAATCCAGCAAATACTCATATCTGTGTAGCATGTCTGAAGGTGTGAAACCAAACACTTGCTAATACAGTTACAGTTAATCTGTATGTCAGAGAATCTGATCAAAATATGAAATATTGAAATTGCTGTTCACACTTGAGTACATACTTTAAAGGACACATGACATTTAGGAAGGCAGATGAGTCACTTGTCTATTCAGACAAAAACTTGACAATTTCTTCAAACCTGCATTATTACATTCAAAAACAAGTACAAATTCTGAGTCTTCTATCGATGAATGAATATATTGTCCTTTTATAATTTTTAAATAAAACCTCTATGGTGATATTCTTTTATTTATTTTCATCGGCACTACTAATATTATTAAATTTTCCATTTATATTCTGAGTTTTCTTTTTGTCTTTTAGAGCTACCTTTTGCTTCACTAATCTGGATTATCTCTTAATCCAGATGACCTTCCTCCCCCATTAACTCTGGATTAGCAAAAGTGTACTGTACTAATTTCCAGCTTGTTGTGACGATTATAAATTTTGGAACTCTACACACACTGAACAGATGAACTCAGCAGGGAGTTGATATCCACACACCAACACAATAAACAAAAGACACACCTGACAGTCATATGCAGCATGGCTGAATCAGCAATTTTATACACTTTTAGAGATTTTAAAATTAAAAATAACAATGTATTCACACATGACACACACTAAAGATGACACAGCAACATTTTTAACAAGCGTGTATACACCTGATGATGGCTGAAACTTGTTGTAATAAGATGTATGACAGTCTAAAATAAGTGTTGCATTTAAGACAGTGGTTACTAGTATGTACAAAAGGCAACACTACTAGTGCAACAGGATGTTAATGTACAGTGTTACTGCATATTATGATACTGACAGGGAAAACAACCATATTCCAGCTGAAGAATGGATGCTTCTGCTTGTTCATAATGAAACCCAGCCACTGACAAAATGTATCTGTTGGGCTGAAGAGAAGCCTGCATCTGAAGTGCCAGTTTCAGCTGTTGATTAAAATGAAGTCAGAATGGTTTGATATGTGTCAGTGATTTACTGAATTTTTACTTCAGTCCACATTGCCAGAGCTCAGTTTTAATTCACTTTAATTCAGGGAGCAAGTTTACTTAAGTGGTACCCCTTCTGATTTGTAGCCACGAATGTCTGGTTCAGATCTCAGTTGGGACACTGATTATCCTGACTGAGGTTTGTCATCATAGTCCTAAGTCCCTCAAGGTAAATGCTGGAATAGTACTTCAATACAGGGAATGGCTGCTTTATTTCACATCTTTTCACATTTATTATTCACTCATCATCCTGTCAGTCAGTGTTATATAAGCTAAAGTACTGACACAGTTAAATAAGTCATAAATAAACAGACATCATCTCAGATGAGTGTGTCACAGCAAACAAAACTCTGTTAATGTCACTTCACTGACATGGTAGCCTATTCTTGTCTCTATGAATGCTGATATGGGGGCAGGTGGAAGGAGGCCCCCCCCCCTTTTGATTTTTGGAAAAATATCAAAATTGAATAAAGGAATGAAATATTTTGACATTAATGCCAAAAATTAAAATTATTTTGAAAAATGTATTATTTTAACCTGGATACCCCAAGAAAAACAATAAAATTAGTCTGAAACAGTTTAAATATAACTTTGTAACCAAATTTTCTGGCTTAACCTCCCCCCATAAAAATTCTTATGGCCACAATTCTTATCCCTGTTATTTAAATGATTATGCCTTTTTTAAAACAAACTGCATACAGTAAACACATTGTGGAGGTATAGTGTCTGTGCGCACGTTACTTATACAAAGCATTCAAACAGATTTTGATAAAATTTTGAATTTTAGGTGTACATTAAAATTGTTGCACTGATTTAGTTAGGTTTATATTATTCCATAATGATCCCTTACCTTGAATGAAACCTAAATTGAACTTTACTAATTTTCTCAAAAATTGTTTTTGCAGTGAAGGATTTGTATGTGATGTAAATTCAGATCTCATTGTCATTTGCTACCCTTGTTTGGACTATTCTTTTGATAATTGTGAATACTTCATGCACTGGATAAACTATTTTTGACCGAGCAGTGTGACTAGCTTTTAAAATGCATTCATATTTTCAATAAACTAGTATTAAGGTCAATCAGGAATTCAAAATTGCAAAGAACACATTTTTTAAAAACAGATGTACTTATAAACACACCTGGATTATTCTGAAGCAAGATGAAAGAGTCATTCTATTAAACAGCATTTGAACCCATGATTTTGGATTGTTTGTTGAGCGTTAAGCATCATCAAAATGACAACATTCAGCAGGCATAACATGCAGCACCCAAGGCAACCAAGTCTTGATCAAAATGCTTGTCTATGTGACTGGAAAAACTGAGTTTGATGGATTGATGACACAAATAGCCTATATCACAGGAGCCTCATAGATTCATGAGATACTGCAGCAGTTCCACGGAGTAGAAGCCTTGATAAGCTAGTACCTATTCAGCTGATCACGGAGTTCCCTGCCTTTCATATAACCCAAAGGTTCATTGCCATGTTCGCAGCAGTCTCCCTGTGGAACCTATTCTGAGCCAGTCCTCATCCTCACACCCAGTTTCTTTAATATTATCCTCCAATCTATGCTGATGTCTTTCAAGTGGTCTCTTCCCTTCATGTTTTTCCAAATAAAACTGCATGGACAAAACTGCAGTTCTTGTTTCTCTCATGCCAGGCTGCAGTCTGGCACTGTGACCCACATAGCCTCCTATCCATACTAGGGGCTGTTTTCA